CGTCGCACGCGCAGGAGAGATTGCGGCGGCTGAGGGATCTAGAGAAGAGGGAGGGAGAGAGACTGGTACTAGGGTATGGTCCCCTTCCGTATATACATGAAGGGTTAAATGGGCTTTTGGGCTAGGCTTTGGTTAACAGAGGTGGACCTCTTAAGAGGTCCATCTCCGAAAATGGCATCTATTTTTTGAGGCGGACCTCTTAAATGGCCCGCCTCCGTTAATCGATTCTAGGAGGCACTAGTATTTTGCTCGTCTTCATAAATAGGTTGACCATCTTGGAAAATGGCTGAACATTTTAGGAGACGCTTATTATTTGTGTTGGCCTCCATTAATAAATTTGGCGATTACAACTGAATTACTAAAAACAGCAGCAGTAGAGAGGATCGCCCTCCCTGGGAGGCTCGGATATGCTAACTCTACTTCTGCCTACCTCTAATCCTGGGCGCACTAGTGGTTATATTACCCACATGCGTGGCTGAGGACACTTCCTACTATTATTAGCTAATTGACCATGCACTAGCACTAGAGGCAGCCGCACACGCACATGAGCAGCTGAGGACACAGCTAGCTAATCCAATTGACCAGGCTCTAGCCACTAGAGGCAGCCACATCCTTCTTCATCCTATTATACTGCTGCCCAATGAACGAGTCCACACCAGTGTGCCTGCCAAATAATAAGCTATTGTTTTCTGACTGTTCTGTTAGCAGTTAGCACTTGAGCAGAAACTTCTTAGTTTTTGTGCTTGGTTAGAAACAAATGTTTAATGAGGGAAGGTTGATTTCTCAGCCTGCTGATATATTTATGTTTGAATTTGTGTATTTCTGCAGTATTAAGAGTGGCATCAACAGATGAGGGACCATGTGCTTGACAGACTAAAGGTGTTTCACCAGAGGGTTTCTTGGCATTGGGCAATTTGGTGGTAGTATCAATGGAGGTGGCAATGCTGACATATGAACTACCAAATTGGTTTTCAGCTCATGGAGCGACTGCTATCAAACTCTTGTAGTTTAAAGGATCCAGAACGGTCAAAGTGCTGTCACCGGTGAACCTGCCCTGCTTTCTCTTTCTGATGCTTGTGAATTCATATGTTTAGCTAAGTGCTCTAAAGCTTTGCCTATATGGAGTCGAGTAAAATCTATATGTGAGCAAGTTCAGCTCATTTTATTGGGGTTCTTTTTCCATCTTTTTTATAAGGTTTAAAATCTGTCGGAAAGATAGAGTAACCAGTAATGGGTGGAGTATGTAGCTACTGCATGCTGTTTGAAGGGGGGTGGTGTTAATCTGTGTGTGTTCCTTGCCCATGATGAACAGGAAGAGAAGAACGTTTAACATGCAGAGTACACTTGATAGGGCAGCAAACGTATGTAAATTGGCAAGCACGAGTCTTGGTATCTGAATCATTTACAATCCTGAAGATGATCTGTTCATCAGTTGGTTGGGCGAAACTAGCTGAATGCCCAATTTTCTGAACATCAAGGCCTGTTTTGTTAGAGACCTGGACAACTTGCCTGGTAAAAAATGTTACCTGGAAGTTACCTGAAAATCTGATGGAATCTTTCTGCTCAGGCAAGTTAGGTCATAGTCTGTTTGGTTGGAAGCCTGCGCCTGAGAACGCTAATAAGTGATAAGAGAGAATAAAACATTATATTAGTATGTGTTTAACGCCATTGTATATGATTAGTTGAACTCCTAATCAATTTTTAGGATACTAGTGATTTACATCATTTTTTAAGATTTATAAGATAAACATCAGTATTTATAATTATTATCTTTTTACATATATTCAATGAAAAAGAGCGAGACAAAATAAAATGACAAAAACAGTAGCAAATCATGGGGATGTCGTTCGCTTGATTTGACGTGAACAGGAAGTATTTAGAAAAGTTATGTCACAGCCATCTTAGATTGGTTAACGTTTAATCACGGCACACCCAGGCAAGAACGGTAGACTGGAGCCAGGCGTTCGTTTTTGTGGGTGAGTTGCTTTGGAAGATTTCCAGGATGCCAACCAAACAGCACGCACGCAGGCAAGTTCCAGGCAATCAGGAATCCAGGCAATTTTACTCCAGCGTTGCATCCAAACAGCCCCCAAGTGCCCCTGCATGGGCATGGGTTTCTCTGTGCCAGCCAACAGCATGCGCTCTAGGCCATGTATTCTGGATCGATAATGACAGGATGCGGGCGTCTGTCCGGACACCGCGCGCCCACTCTGCCTCGCTGCTGTGCCGCGCTTCCCCCACCGCGCGCTCCATCCCGTGCCGCTCGCTCCTCGCCCCGCGCCTCACCCGCGCCTTTGGCTCCTTGCTCTAGCTGCGTGTCCTGCTCCCTCTGGTGCGTGCCCCGACCGGGCAGCCGCGGTGGCTGCGCGTGCCGGGGCGGTCGTGCTGTGCCACGCCTAGGCTACCCTGTATGGCCGCCACTGCCGCCTCCACCACGGGTCAGCCGCCTTCCCGCTGTCATCCTCCTTCTCCACCGCGACCTAGCGCCGGATCCCGTTGTGCAGTGCTTCGTCCGCCCACCCACTCGCCTGTCAGGTTTTGCCAAAGTGTATGTTTCAAGTGTTTCATATGTTTCAGAGGAATGTTGCAAGTGTTTCTTATGGATGTTGCAAAAGTAGATTGGAATATTGCATATGTTGCAATGGCTATATACGTATCTTGCAAACATCTGTTCCAAATGTTTTATCTGTTTTTTTTCAGACATATGTTGCAAGTGTGTTTATTTGGATGTTGCATATGTTTCAATCATATGTTGCAAATGTTTTAGCTAGATATTGCATATGTTTTGCAATGACTTTTCAAGTGTTTTCAGATGTTTTTGCTAGTGTTTCAGACGACGCATGTTTCAAGTGTTTCATCTGTCTTCAGACGTACGCTGCAAATGATTCATTTAGATGTTTCAAAGTAGATCGGGTGTTGCACATGTTGCAATGGCGCCAGGCTCTTGAATAACTTATTTATGGAAGTGCGGTATCAAAATCTTATATACTACCGAACTGGGTTGATCCTACATAAATCTTTGCTGTGGGCAATATTTAAAACAGATTAGATATGCCTATGAATTTGTTGATCCATGATGCACGTGCCACAGTGTGTTGGTGAAGCTCTGCTTATAACAGAACCAGCTACAAATCCGTTGCTCTTTGTTTGCTTCACTTCCCTGAAAGATTCATCAGTCAGCAGTATGGTTCTGCATTTGAGTTCCTGTCTTAATGGAGCAAGCCTGCAGCAGTGATGGTGAATCATGGTCTGTCTTGCTCGTTGTGAAGGGTGAACAGTAGTGTTCAGGCCTTCATTCTGACTAACTGAAGCTGTCTTCTATGTTTGACTGCTAGGGGCTCCCAACTTGGGAATGAGGCGTGTTTTGTGATGCTGAACTGAAGTTGCCTGTGTTGGCATCATTGAAAAATGCCTGGTTAGGTTCAGTAGAGTTCAGCATGCCAGATTGGCAGTATGCTGTATTTGTATGCGTGTGTGGTGAATAAATTGAAGGCTCCTAGTTCAGTTTCAGCATGCGAGATTGCTAGTGTTGTGTTCATTCACTTTCCTGAACGATTCATCAGCCATGCAGTGTGGTTCCGGCACTTGATTTCCTGTCTGAATGGATGGAACAAGGCTCAAGGCTGCAGCAGGCGCTGTCTCTGAAGCATGGTTCGTTTCAGTAAACTATCATCGGGGGATGGTGGGTGATGGCTATGGTTCAGCTTAGTTTCGAATCCTTCAAAAAAAAAAAAGTTCTGTGCAACTGTATGTATGCGTGTGTGGTGAGCAATTGAAGAGCTTCTGAATACTCCCTCTGTCCTGAAATATAATGCATTATGTCTTCTAAAATTTGTACTGAAATATAGTGCATTCTACATGATGTCAATGCCTAGATTTGGTAAAGTTTGTTAAAAAGAAAACCCTAATTAAGGAGAAACACCTTAATTGGGTTCAATCTATGGGTACATGCGCCACTAAGAGTTTCCTTAAGTTGTCTAAAATAATTTAGAATACATTATATTACAGGACAGAGGGAGTAAGTAAGATTGGATCTCTGGTTCAGCTTCTGCATGCACAGATGGAACTTGCAGAAACCATTTGCCTCAAGTGAAAGTCTAATCCTGTACTGCACCTCGGAGAGCAGCAATAACAATCACAGTGAATGAACACACTGAGAAACACCGTCCAGCTTCCCTTTTCCACTCGCTGAAAGTATTGTCCTGTGTCCACTCATTTTGGGAATCAAGTGTGTGCTATGATCCCAACTGAACTTTTGCTCGCATTCAGTATGTATGCTGTAAATAAATAAATTCTAGAGCAACTGGAATAAATGATTCTTTGGTTCAGTTTTTATTCGGACTGCAAAATGATCCTGAGCTTTATGGGTTTCTATATAAACCTTGTTTACCCAGTCTGATGACGAGGAGCAGATGAGGTACGTACAGTGGCCGAGCGAGCAAGCTGGGCCGATCTCAACTCGGATATGGGCCTACAAAGCCATTAGAGAGAGCCCATACACATTCGGATGTGCGGCCCACCTGGAAGAGTCCAGGTCCAACGCTCTTCCTCACCTCACTGTCTGTCTGTGTGCCATTTCCTCACCTCACCTCGGCCGCCCGCCGCCCGCCGCCGCCGCCGGGTTCGCAGCCCGACCAAGAAGGGGCCACCTGGAAGAGCCCAACGCTCTTGTGCGATTTCCTTCCATCAGGCCATTCTATGCTCGGTCCTTCCTCTCACTGGCTGTGGCTTGTGCGATTTCCCCCAAATCCAGCAGCAGAAACCCTCGCACCACCGCTGCCGCTGCCGCCGGGTTTGCAGCCCGACCAATCAAGCGCCATGCCGCCACCGCCGCCGCTACCGGATGAGCTCGTGGAGTAGGTGCTCCTCCGCTTCCCGCCAGAGAACCCCGCAGGGCTCATCCGCGCCGCGCTCGTCTGTAGGCGCTGGTGCCGCCTCGTCTCCGACCCCGGCTTCTGCCGCCGCTTCCGCGAGTTCCACCGCCGTCCCCCGTGCTGGGGATGCTCTGCAACCTCTTCGACAAGCGCTTCTGCAGGTTCATTCCCACGACCGCCTTCTGCTTCCTCCCGAGCACCGATTTCCCGCGCCTGCCTGTGGTAGATGCCCGCCACGGCCGTGTCCTCGGTCAGAGGGGCAGCATGCTTGTGGTCTGGGACCCCATCACGGATAAGATGCGGGAGCTTCCCTTTCCGCAGAAGTCAGACACCTGGACCGCTGCAGTTCTCTGCTCTGCCGCTGCTGGCGCCTGCAACCACCTTGATTGCCACAATGGACCCTTCCGCGTTGTGTTTGTGTGCGTCAACATAGGCAGTGCCTTAGTCTACACCTACTCATCCAATGCTGCTGCCTGGAGTGAACCAGTTGGGCCTCAGCAAAATTACCACGTCGACCCCTTTATGGGCAGCGCGCTTGTGGGGAACGCTCTCTACTTTGGGAATCTGGTGCGATCCACAGCTCTCAAGTACGATTTGGAATTGTGTCAATTGTCGTTGATTTGCCTACCATCTCTATGGCGGAGGTCTCAGCTGCAGGAGTCTCTGCTTACAACCATGGAGGATGGTGGACTAGGGCTCGTCAGGAGAGATGACTCCAAACTTTACATGTGGTCAAGGAAGGATACTCATGAAGTACATGCTACATGGGAAAGAAGCGTCATTGAACTTAAGACAGTGTTCCCTGTTGATATTGATGTAACCAAACTTATTTTGATTGGCTCTGGTGTCGATATCATTTTCATGAGGACGGGCAATGAGGTCTATACAATTGATCTAAGGACCTATAAGGTGAAGAAGGTATATGAGGGCATAATTCTCACCATCCTTCCGTACATGAGCTTCTACACTGCAGGTACATCGCTCCTTAGATATGATGTGTCACATTGTGACTTATCAATCTAGAAGAATGGATGATGATTTATGAAAAATAAAAAATGAATGTGTGTTTTCCTCTCAGCCTGCTGACATTTATTTTTAAATCTGTGTATTTATGCAGTGTTTCGAGTGGCCACCACAGGTGAGGGACTGAGTGCTGGCGCCTCAACTGTTGAACAGAGGCTTTCTTAGCAATTGAAAATTTGTTGTTGGTACTAGCAATGGAAGTGATATAGCTTTATAAGGGGACAGGTCACTAGGGTTGAGCTTGTGCCTGAGGCCTTGTCTACAGGCAAACTAATATAATCAGGATTCAGGAACAGCAGTACTTATTAACCATCGTCTTAGTTTCAGTTCATGAGAGACTGCATATCAAACTCTGTTTCAGTTTAAATCATCCAGAACAGTGAAGTATTCTGTCACTGGTGAACCTACCCTGCTATCTCTTCTGACGCTTCAGAATTCATATGTGTGGTTAAGTGCTCTAATCCTTTGCCAGTATGGAATCAAGTAAGATGTCTATGTGAGCAAGTTCAGTTCACATTACAGGATGGTAAAATGTTTTAACAAGGATTCTAGGAGCCTGTTGCGTGTATGCTGCGAAGTCGCTGCTTAATACTGAGCACTAATCTTGTTGCTTGCGTGCATTTCATTTCAATAGCTACCTTGAATTTAGTTTTACTTTTTTGGTTTCTATTTTTGCTTTGGTTATTGCACAGGAATGCATGAGAGTGGTGCTTATTAGCTGACCATAGAAATCTTAACTAGTAATTCATCTGTTATGTTCAACACAAAGTAATTCATTTGTTTGATCAGTATGCGTTTGGTTACCACTCCTGAATGTTTTCTGTGGCTATGCTATACTTGTTTTACTGCTGCTCGGTCATTTTTCCAATAAGGTTCAAAACATGGGGAAAAGAGAGAGCAATCAATAATGGGTGGACTTTTTTTTCTCGAACACGCAGGAGAACTGCGTATCATTTTATTAAGAAAGAAAAATAATGGGTGGGTGAGCTAGTGTTTGCTGTTGAAAGGGGTTTTGATGTGTTAGTCTGTACTTGTTCCTGAACATTAGGCTTGTACAGCAAGAGAAAATGTGTAACCATGCAGACACTGATAGGTCAACAAGATTTCAGAGAGATGAAGGATTCAGGGACATATGTACAGGACAGCATTCTCAGGCCAGGTGTTGGTATCTGAATGCATTATATTCATGCGAGAACAATAAAGAAATAAATATAATCTGCTCATGAGTTGGTTGGGCGAAATTAGCTGAATGCCATTTTTCTGAACATCAAGTGCCCTATTTGGTTTCTGTCCTAGCCACTATTCCTAGTTGTGATTTTTTTGTAATAATTCCTAACTGGATTTTGACAGCAAGGGTGGCAAACTCTTACTGCCATCCTTGCATGTTGCTGTATACGAAACCCTGTTTCTCAGTTTAAAGCATACAGACAGTGAAGTAATCTGTCACTGGTGACTGGTGAACCTATCGTGTTTTTTTCTTTCTGATGCTGCATGGTTCATGTGTGTGGGTGTGGCTAAGTGCTCTAATGCTTTGTCAATATGGAATTGAATAAGATCTCTATGTGAGCAAGTTCAGCTCACTTTACAGTATGGTAAAAAGTTTTAATAAGGAGCCTGCTGCTTGTAAGCTGTGAAGTCACCACTTAATACTGAGCACTAGTCTTGTTGCTTGTGTGCATTTCATTTCAACAGTTACGTTGAATTTTGTTTACCTTTTTGGTTTCTATTTTTTCTTTGTTTGCTAGAAAGGACTACATGAGAGTGGTGCTTATTAGCTGACCATAGAAATCCTAACTAGTACTCCCTCTGTTCCAAATTATAAGACGTTTTGGCTTTCCTAAATTCATAACTTTTACTATGCACCTAGATATATATATATATTATGTCTAGATACATAGTAAAAGCTATGAATCTAGAAATGCCAAAATGTCTTACAATTTAGGAAAGAGGAAGTAGTTCATTTGTTATGTTCAACACATTTCATTGTCTGATCACTCTCTTTTTGGCTATCACTTAGCCACTTAGCAGAACTTTATCTCCTATGGGTACTTGTTTTACTACCATTAATACATAGGGCTACTGATATAGTCAAGAGTAGCAATGCATAGCAACTGTATTCTTACTTTCAGCTCTTGAGAGACTGCATGCATGTCAAACTCTGTTTCAGTTTAAAGCATCCAGAACAGTGAAGTATTATGTCACTGGTGAACCTACCCTGGTTTCTCTTTTTGATGCTTCAGAATTCATATGTGCGGAATAAGTGCTCTAATGCTTTGCCTATATGGAATTGAGTGAGATCTCTATGTGAGCAAGTTCATATCGCTGCATAATGCTGACCACTAAGGTTTGTTGCTTGCATGCATTTCATTTCTGACAGTCACGTGGAGTTTTGTTTTTCTTGATTTGGTTCTTACTTAGGATGATACCGATGCTTATTTGCTGACCATACATATCTGAACTAGTAATTCATTGGTTACTTGCAAAACATTTCATGTGTTTGATTTGATCACTATCTGTTTGGTCACCAGTTCCTAGAATGTAATCTATGGCCATACGGTATAAATGCTGCTACTTGTCATATGTGAACCCCTGAGCGGCTGAGCCATAAGTGGGAGCATCTGTATGTAGTTGTTTTTCTCTCAGATTTCTAAGGTTTACGATTTGTCGAAAAGATAGGGTAATCAGCTATGGGTGAACTAGCTGATGCATGCTGTTGAAGTGATCTGATGCGTTAATCTGTACGTGTTCCTGAACATTAGCCTTGAACAGGAAGAGAAGAACATGTAACATGCATACAGTGGTAGTGATGGGGCAGCGAGATTGCATTGCAGGGATCTGAACGATTCAGGAACTTATGTAAAGCATGCATGGCTGTTGCCGTGTTGGTATCTGAATGCATTTTATCCATGCGACATTAGAACAACAGGGAACTGAAGATGATCTGTTCATCAGTTGGTTGGGCGAAATTAGCTGAATGCCATTTTTCTGAACATCGAGGGCCCAGTCTGCTTGGATTTTTGGACAGCAGGCGGTGTAGCCCACCTGGACCGTTCGATTCCATTTGCACGGTCAGCGATTCTCCCAAGACCAAGTCAAGATCTCTCTGTCTCTGATCCCATGGCCCCACCTGGAAGCCTGAAAGCAGAGCACGGAGCAGAGCTGTAGATACTTTCCTCACCTGCTGCGCCCCGCCGGCCAACCACCGTGGAAGCAGATCCGCCGCCGGCGAGCGCGCTGATGGCGATGGAGGAGGAGGTCCCGCTGCGCTTCGCTCCCAGCTAGCCCGCTCGTCTACAAATGCTGGCGCCGCCTCGTGACGGGGCCAGGGTTCCCGCCGCCGCTACCGCGACCTCCACCGCGGGGTGTCGCCCGCCTTCGATGCTGGGTTTCCTCTCCAAAGACGGCCCCGGCCCGAGCGCCCGCTTCGTGCCAACCTATTTCTCGCCAACACCTTGGACGAGGGCGCGCCCGCATCCGCAATGCACCGGCACCGGCACACAACGACGGCTCGTGGGGAACGGCTTTTGCACTTCGAGGCGGGCACAACAATGCTGGAGTACGATTTGGGCTCGCGGGAAATGAAGGTAATATCACTACCACACAAAGCTTTTGGGGCTATTTGGAAGGAGCGGCATCAGAGAATCTTTCAACATAAAGCAGCATCCATAGCATCAATCACCACAAAGATTAAAGAGGAAGCAACATCTTGGGGAGCAGGAGGCAAACACTTAGCATCCCTGTATTCCAGAGAGTAGCCATATCTTTTTTTTAATTAATTTCTTTACCACCTCCGTGGGACTTTGTAACCTCTTCTCTATTAATAGAAATTGGCACAACTTGTGCTGGTTCGAAAAAAAAAAGCTTTTGGGTCTAAAGGAAGTGCCAAATCACACAGCTTTAGTCCAAAAGCCGGGCACTGGTTGATATACCTGGTACTTTCTTTGGAGTTGCTGGTACACAGAACATGCATCTGTTGTTAATCTGACAATCTTTTTTTTGTGACCTTCATACCATATTGGTGCTCTACGGAGAAATTACGTTGGTCATGGATGGTGATGGCTTGATTTTTGTGCCCTTCATATCATAGATGCTGTACAGAGAAATTACATAGGTCATGGATTGTGATGGCTTAGTGCTTCACATAGCGAAGGGTCGGGATGCAACATTCAAGGGCTGTAAGCCAACTGGTTGTAAAGAAAAAGTTAAATCAGCATAATCAGGTGAAGGCGAAAGCAGTTCAAAGGTCATGCATGTGAATGGACTATTGACTTTATCAATTTAGTTATTCTTATACGTCTTGGATTTTTGACCCGAATTGTTCTTAAAATCCCTTGCTCTCCTTGGAGTTTTCATGAGAAGCATAGAGTACACAGTTCAGCAACATCAAAACTTACAGTGTGCTTTCTTACCCATCCTGCAGCGTTGTCTTCCTGAGGAGCGAGAGTGATCTCCCAAATGGAAAGTTTCCTTTCTGCAGTCCTTGGTGAGCTGATGACTTGATCCATAAATTTCATCATCAGCAAGTGCTCGAAGCCGCCAGCACTGGTTGTGGAGGAAAGCCTACAAAGGGCTCTTCTTCGGGCACAGGTCATCATCGAGGAGGCCATGGGACGGCACATCACAAATCAATCTATGATCCACCAGCTTGACATGTTGAGAGACGCCATGCACCAAGACTATTATGCACTTGATGCCTTCAGGTACCAGCCTTACTATGTAGAAGAGGATGGCAAAGATCAAGCTGTGAATTACTTTATCTCCGTATCCAAGGTACCCTCTCCAATGGAACCCTATTTCTCTGGTCAAACTGCAAGATTCCTTCAACAACTACGAGAGGCACTTGACAGATTGAGCTCCATGATTGTTGATCTGAATGAGTTGGTCATGTTCTTGATGAGCTATCCTCGCCTGTATCGCCAGCCTTACAGCATGCATATCCTTCTGGGTAACTGCATGTTTGGTCGCTGCATGCAGTGTGAAATAGATTGGAGTCAGTTGTAATTGTTGCCCAGACATGAACAAAATGGATCTCAGATTTGGGCTAAGCCCAGGGGCAGCTTGGCCACTAGGCCACTTGGATTGAAACTGAAAATTACAAGACTTGGAATACAAGATGGTCTGCCACTGCTTATATAGCAAAGTGGCTTTTCCTACTCTTACCTACTCTAGCATATTCTGCTGCATAAAGCAGATACCAAACTTGGGTGCTAAGCCACCCGAAAACACTTAGACAGTGAATAGTAAAAACAGGAAAGTAAGATACAAGCAGCTAGGCTTAACTATCAGTAATGTCTACTGAATTGTTTCACATTATGAGCTGTATATGTACACAAATCTTTGTACATGTACTCTAAAGTGCAGCAGTTTTGATCTGTATAATGCTTGCTCTGTTTTATTTTTTACACTTGAATGAGAGCATTCAAATTTATGTTCTTGCAGTCATCTGATACTCAAATTGTCTTCTTTTTGGATGGTCAGCAGGTGCTCCAATCACTCCAACTTACAGGTATCTACTGCAATATGCTAATTAAAACTACAGCTTAGAAGTTTCAATTTTAAAGTGTTGTATGCAAGTGTCCCTGTGACATTGACATATGGTGGGATCTTGAAACTCATCTAAATTTAGGCAGGAAAGGAACTAAAAAATTGTGTTGTCTACACAAGCTTTTGAAATAGCATTTAAGTTTCTACTGTTAGCGATATTAGCCAACACAAGAAGGTCAATTGCTTCATCGGGAATTTATAGTGCAAAATCTGGTCTGAAGGCAACTCCTGTTCAGTCAGTTGGTTAAAAAGTGGAACAGAGGACACTGATTAATATAGTTCTTAGCTGGTATACAGAACTACAGTATACCAGTTGCTAAGCTAACAATCTTATTTTTGTGACCTTGATATCATAGGTACTCTACAGAGAAATTACATAGATCATGGATGTTGATGTCTCAGTGATTCACTTAGCGAAGGATTGGAATTCAACAGTCAAGGGCTGTATGTATTCTCTGGAAGTGTAAACAGAGAAATAAAAAGTCAAATCAGAATAACCAGGTGAAGACGAAAGCAATCCCAAAGGTCATACATGTGAATGGACTTTTGACTCTCTTTGAATTTAGTTACTCTTATATGTCTTTGCTTCTTGAGCTCAATCGTTCTTACAGGCCCTTTCTAACTTGAGCTTTGACGTGAAGCAGAGAATACAGAGTTTCAGAAACATCAAAACTCACCTCGTGTTTTCCTGCCTCGTCTTCCTGAGCAGGAAGGGAGAACTCACATGGAAGATTTCCTTCCTACAGTCCTGCGAGAGCTGATGACTCGACCCATAAACTTCATCATCAACAAGTGCTTGAAGCGGCCCGCAATGGCCATGGAGGATAGCCTACAAAGGGCTCTTCTCCGAGCACAGGTCATCGATGAGGAGGCCATGGGACGGCACATCACAAATCAAGCCTTGATCCAGCAGCTGGGCATGCTGAGAGATGCCATGCACCGAGGCTATTACGCACTCGATGCCTTCAGGTACCAGCCTCACTACGGAGAGGAGGGCAATGATCCAGCTATTAGGGGCTTTATGTCCCTATCCAAGGTACCCTCTCCAAAGGATCCCTATTTCTTCAGTCGAACTGCACAGTCCCAGGTGCAACTAGAAGATGCACTTGACAGATTGAGGTCCATGATGTTTGATCTGAATGAGTCAGTCATTTTCATGATGAGCTACCCTCGTCTGTATCGCCAACCTTGCAGCATGCATATCCTACTTGGTAACTGCATGTTTGGTCGCCAGATGGAAGCAGAACTAGTTATTAAATTCCTGTTGCACACACACCCTCATTGTTCTCAAGATTTGGAGGTCATGCCAATTGTTGGTCCACCCAGAGTCGGCAAGAGTACCCTAGTCGCTCATGTTTGCAAGGACGAAAGAGTCCGTGATTATTTCTCAGAAATCTTGTGGTTGTGTGAGTTCGATTTTACAAATGATGAGCTAGTTTGCAGACAAGGATGTGTAATGAACCATCAAAATTGTATGCCAAACTCGAACAGAGGCAAGAGATTTCTTGTTGTCATTGAACTATCTGGAAATCTCAGCGAAGAGGCATGGAATAGGTTGTATCTTGGTTCCAGAGGAAGCTTTTCTAGTGGTAGTAAAATCATAGTCGCAAGCCGTTCAAACAAGATTGTAAAGTTTGGAACAACACCGGCTCTAACTCTGAAGTTTCTTTCCAAGGAGGCATATTGGTATTTCTTCAAGACACTTACATTTGGATGCATGGACCCTGAGAAGCACCCAAATCTTGCACAACTTGCCATGGAGATAGCTAGATTGCAGTATGGTTCATTCCATGGTGCATACATCATGTCTTATTTGTTGAGGGACAATTTTAACATACACTTTTGGCGCAAGGTTTTGAGCTTCTTGAGAGGGGTCATCCAGAAGCATGTCTCTGAATTCGGCGTGCATCCGTTTGATCTTCTGTATCAAAACAGACCTGTACAGCATGGAAGAATGGCTACACCTTCCGAAGATTTCATGATTTGTCATCAGTATCACCGTTCTCCACAAGAGGAGGTTCCGGAGATAAGAATCCAAGATTTGTTGTTTGGAAGCATTAAGAGACATGGAAAATTTGAGGTCCTAGTATGGAGATCCCAGCTGCCCCCCTACTACAGCTATGTCAATGCTTGTGAGATTCGAAAGCGAAAAATTACAGGTGTGAAGAGGAAGCACTCTACGAAAGATGGAGCTACACTCTGTTAATTTTGACCTTTTCTGGTTTTGTTATATAATTTTATTCACTTTTTGTGGGTAGGATGTCATAAGTGACAGCAGAGTCAATTCTGAAGTGTGCTGGATTTTCATATCTGAAGTGCAAGTGCTTATCTACATAATGACACATGAGTTGGAGGCATATATTTTCATGGGATATGGTGAATCTTTCCCTATTGTTGGCTTTACTCCAGAAAGCAGACTCAGCCTGGGCTTCAACCTTCAAGCCTGTCTTCTCGGCTTTATCTTTTCAGTTCAACCCAGCAGGCCATCCTGTCAATAGAACCTCAGTCATGTTTGGTAGTTTGCATGACTGGTTGCCTTATGGAGATGGAACAACTTATCAGTGCCCTGTTGCATGCCAAGCAGAGTCGACTTGGTTCAAGAAGTTTGGCATCCCACCAATCTCTGGCCCAGAAAGAGTTGGAAATTGGCTGGAGTTAGTTGTAATGATTTTTTTTCCGCATCTCATGATTGCATAGTATACAAAATTTGTACACTTGAATGAATGCATTCAAATTTTTGTACTTGGTCCTCTGAGATTCTAATCTCATTGTCTTCTCTTATCGTAGTCAGAGTGTTCTCAAATAACACCAACTTAAAGGTATCTACTGCAGTATGCTAAGTAAAACTACAGCTAACAAGCTTTTGAATTTTAAATTTTAAAGTGTTATATGCAAAATGTGTTCCTGTAACATTGACAGACAATGGATCTTGGAACTCATCTAAATTTAGGCTGGGCCAGTAAAATTACTGAGCAGCAAAGGAATTGAAAAAGTGTTTTCTACATGAGCTATTGTACAGTGCAGCAGTTTGATCCAGTATACTGCTTGCTCTGTTTTCTTGTGTACACTTGAATGAATGCATTCGGAATTTTTGTACTTGGTCCTCTGAGATTCTAATCTCATTGGTCCTCTGTAACTACGGTATATCAGTTGCTAAGCTAACAATCTGATTTTTGTGACCTTGATAACATAGGTGGTCTACAGAGTAATTACACAGATCATAGATGGTGATGGATCAGTGGTTCACTTAGCGAAGGCTTGGAATTCAACAGTCAAGGGCTGTACGTATTCTATGGAAGTACCCAACCGGTAGCAAGTTCAAAGAAAAATAAAATGTCAATCAGAATAACCATGTGAAGGCAAAAGCAGTCCTAAAGGTCATACATCAGCAGTCCCAAAAGTCATACATGTGAATGGACTATTTACTCTTTGTATGTCTTTGCTTCTTGAGCCCAACGCCCTTTCTCTCCTTGGAGCTTTGATGTGAAGCATAGCTTACATAGTTTCAGAAACATGAAAACTCACCTTGTGTTTTCTTACCCATCCTGCTGTGTTCTCTTCCTGAGAAGAAAGAGAGGACTCACATGGAAAGTTTCCTTTCTGCAGCCTTGGGTGAATTGATGACTAGATCCATGAATTTCATCATCGACAAGTTCTCTAAGCCGCCGGCACTGGCCATGGAGGAAAGCCTCCAGAGGACTCTTCTCCGAGCACAGGCCATCGACGAGGAGGCCATGGTGCGCGCACATCACTAATCAAGCCATGATCCAGCAGCTGGGCATGCTGAGAGACGCCATGCACCGAGGCTATTACACACTCGACGCCTTCAGGTACCAGCCTCACTATGGAGAGGATGACAGTGATCAAGTTGTGAGTCGATTTATGTCCCTATCCAAGGTAGCCTCTGCAAAGCATCCCTATTTCTTCAGTCAAACTGCACAGTTTCGGGAACAGCTACAAGAGGCACTAGACAGATTGAGCTCCATGATTGTTGATCTGAATGAGTTGGTCATGTTCTTGGCGAGCTACCCTCGTCTGTGTCGCCAACCTTACAGCATGCATATCCTACTGGGTAACTGCATGTTTGGTCGCCAGGTGGAAGCAGAACTTGTCATTAAATTTCTGCTGCACACACAGCCTCATAGTTCTCAAGAGTTGGAGGTCCTGCCAATTGTCGGTCCACCCAGAGTCGGCAAGAGTACCCTAGTCGCTCATGTTTGCAAGGATGAAAGAGTCCAAGATTATTTCTCAGAAATCTTGTGGCTGAATGACCTTGATTTTAAAGATGACGAGCTAGCTTTCAGACAAGGATATGCGATGAAACATCAAAATCAAGTGTCAAACTCGAACAAAGGCAAGAGATTGCTAGTTGTTATAGAACTATCTAGAAATCTCTATGAAGATGCTTGGAGTAGGTTCTATCTTGCTTCCAAACGGAGCTTTTGTTGCGGGAGTAAAATCATAGTCACAAGCCGTTTAGACAGAGTTGCAAAATTTGGAACAGCACAGGCTCTAACTCTAAAGCACCTATCACATGAAGCATACTGGTATTTCTTCAAGACACTTACATTTGGAAGCATGGATCCCGAGACACACCCAAGACTTGCACAACTGTCCATGGAGATAGCCAGAACTCAGAAACGTTCGATCATTGGCGCATACATCACCTCTTATTTGTTGAGGAGCAATTTTGACATCAATTTTTGGTGCAAGGTTCTGAACTTCTGGAGAGGGATCATCCGGAAGCATGTCTCCAAATTCGGCGCGCATCCATCTGAACTTTTCGACCAAAACAGATATGTACAGATTGGAAGAATGACTGCACCTTCTGAAGATTTTATGCTTTGTCGTCGGTATCAGCACTCTTCCCAAGAGGAGGTTCCAGAGATAAGAGTCCAAGATATCCTGTATGGAAGCATTAAGCTTCATGGGAAATTTGAGGTCCTATTATGGAGATCTCAGATACCACCGTACTATAGCTATCTTTGTGAGATTCGAGAGCGAAAGGCTACAGGTGCCAAGAGGAAGCGTTCTATGAAAGATGGAGTCACATTTTGTTAATCTTGTCATCATATGCCTATACTCAGGAAGTTATTTTTATTTGCTATTTTTGGGTCTGATGCCATAATTTACATTACAGTCAAAATGTACAATAAATAAGATGTCACAGGTTACAACATCGTCGAATTCTAGCTGAATTTTCATATGTATGATGCTGAGGCAATTCTCCAAGGGATGTGATGAACTCATTGTCACCCCAGATAGCAACCTCAATATTAGAATATGAATCAGTTTAGAAGTTGAAACGATAAGTCACTTGATTGTAATCTATAAATACTTGTATCATGTGATGAACTCATTGTCATTGGCTGTACTTATGAGATTCAAGAGCGAAAGACTACAAGTGCCAAGAGGAAGCGTTCTATGAAAGATGGAGCCACATTTTGTTAATTTTGTAATTACCTGTCTCATGTAGGAACATAGTTTTTTTTTTTTTTTTGGGTGGGGGTGGGGGGTTAGGATGCCACAAGTTACAGCACAGCCGCACAGGGCAGTGTAAATAAAACCTGTAAAGTGTCACAGGTTACAGTTACAACATCATCAGACTGTACTGCTACATTTTCATATGTCCATTGGAGTTGATCGTGGCAAGACAGCCTGCCTCAGATTCGATGGTCCTTGATGCAGGACTGCTTAGCGGTCATCGTGGGCGCCTATGGAGCAGCAGCTGGAACATTGCCACCTATGTTCGCAGACTGCTGGGTACCGCCCAGATTTGAGCAAGACCCAACCTCTCTTGGCGAGGCGATCGCTGGAGGGCAGCCGGCCTCAGATCAGATGGTTCTAGAGGCAGGGCTGCTCAGCGGTCCCTGCGGCTCAACAACCCCTCCCTCCAGCGTTCCAGGCAGTGCTAAGGTCGGGCGTCCGTCCCTGGGGCATGGGGAGACCAGTGATGCAGAGCCAACCATGACGGGACAGGCTGATCATGCGGGTGCAACTGGCGACCAGGAGGGGACGGAGGTCCCACCGTCCTCACCATCAAAGGCACACACCACGGCTGCGCTTTTGGCCCAATGCATGGATGCCGGACCGCAAGTTGAGGCGGCCGACGGCACAGCAACGGGTGTCGTTGAAAGCTCTAGTTTGGTTTTGGTTAATTGATGAAACCCTAAGTGCTAACCTAGTTTATCAAAGTGATTATGAGATAGGTAGCACTACTCCAAGTGACAAAGCAATGGCGAAGATCATGACGATGGTGATGGCATGGTGATGATCAAATGCTTAAACTTGGAAAAGAAGAAAGAGAAAAACAAAAGACTCAATGCAAAGGTAAAAATTGTAGAGGCCATTTTGTTTTAGTGATCGAGACACTTAGCGAGTGTGATCACATTTAGGATCGATAGTCATACTATTAAGAGGGGTGAAACTCGTATCGAAATGCGGTTATCAAAGTGCCACTAGATGTTCTAACTCATTGCATATGCATTTAGGATCTAGTGGAGTGCTAACACCCTTGAAAATGTTTGTGAAAATAAGCTAACACATGTGCACAAGGTGATACACTTGGTGGTTAGCACATTTGAGCAAGGGTAGAAAACTTCACCGGTGGAGTGTCCGCCCGTAGAGTGCGGACAGTCCGACGGTGCCACCGGCGCCCTAGACAGAAAAGACGAAGGTCACTGGGAGTGACCGGACGCTGGCCTCGGTTGGACCGGCGTGTCCGGTCAGGTGTAACAGCGAAGACGCTGGCATCGGACAAACGACCGGACGCTGGCAGGGTGCGTCCGGTCAGTGCTGACGTATGCTGACGTGAGGCGCACAGAGAAGACGTTGAGTGACCGGACGCTGGGTGAGTCCGGTCGGACATGACCGAACGCGTCCAGTCATAAAAATTCGTGTTTGGAACCTTACTGGAAATGACCGGACGCTGAGGTCCAGCGTCCGATCACTTTCTAACTGACGCGTCCGGTCATCTCTTGACCGTTGAGATCGGGCGATTGGCGTTTGAAGCCAATGACACGTGGCGAAGATCTGAGGACCGGACGTTGGGGTCCTGCGTCCGGTCAATATGACCGGAGCGTCCGGTCACCCCGCGTTGTGTCCAGTGAAGGGGTGCAACGGCTCTATTTTGTGGGGGCTTCTATTTAAGCCACATGGCCAGCTCAAGCTCACTCTCTTGGCAATTTGCATTGACTTAGCAACTTTGTGAGCTTAGTCAAAGCCCTCCCACTCATCTCCGTCATTGATTCGTCATCTTTGTGAGATTGGGAGAGAATCCAAGTACATTGCTTGAGTGATTGCATCCAGAGGCACTTGGTATTCGTGTTTTGCTGCGGATTTCGCTTGTTGTTCTTGGTGATTGCCACCACCTAGACGGCTTGGTGTAGCGGTGGAGGATTGGCACGAGTTGGTGATTGTTCGTGGCCATCTCCGGTGATTGTGAGGGGATTTGTAGCTTTCCCGGCAGAGCGCCGAAAGGTAACTCTAGTGGATTGCTCGTGTCATTGAGTTACCTCACTTGTGGGTAGGTTCTTGTGGTGTCCAATCGTGTGGACGAGGTTTGTGCAACACCTCTTAGCCGCTGAACCACCAAGTGTTGATCGACACAACGAGGACGTAGCGTGTTGGCAAGCACGTGAACCTCGGGAGAAAATCGGTTGTCTCTTGCCATTTGACATTCTCTCGGTGATTGATTTATATTCATCTTGTGATTGGTTCATCCCTCTACACGGCGGTATAATCACCTCACTTACTCATTTACTTTTTCGCAAACTAGCTATAACAAGCTCTTTAGTGTAGCTAGATTTGAGAGCTTGCTTTATGTATTAAGTTCATCTAGTGGAGTTCTTTAGTGGAGCAATTGTGAGAGCTCTTAGTGAGTAGTGATCTAGTAAATTGTGTGCTTAGTGATCATAACAACTAGAATTGTTGGATAGGTGGCTTGCAACCCTTGTAGAGCTAGAGCAAGTTTGCATTTCGCTATTTATTATACTAATCAAATTGCTCTAGTCGGTTTGTAGATTTTTAAATAGGCTATTCACCCCCCCTCTAGCCATATTAGGACCTTTCAGTCGTTCAGGCAACCGACGAGCTGACCGCTGAGGGCACGCCCACACCGAGGGAGGCCGCCAAGCGACTATCCAGGCTCACTGAGGAGGTCCAAGTAATGAGACAGCCACCTCTCATCAGCTCCCCGCCCAAGCAGAAGCCAGCACCAAAGCGGACCACTGTCCATTAGGAGCAGACGGATTGCTGCTTAGCAGATGGACCACATCCCAGCGTCCAAACGCGGCGAAGTACCGCTCATGAAGAAGATGGGGATCCTGGAAACTTCAACACCGGTCTCCTCTGCAGGCAAGCGTTCGTATGATTCGTACTTCCAGGGCACCCTATCGGAAGCAAACATCGAGGCGCTTAATGAGCTGTTCACAGCATCCAGGGCGATGACTGGTGGAGCAGCGCGGTCTGATACCTTTGCTAGATCGTAGTCTAGGTTGATCCAATGGATCCCAATGTTGTCATAGTCAAAATGTAGTCCCTTTGAGGTAACCGTCGGACTGGGAGCGGTCTCTCTTGTATTTCAAACTTCTATCTTCTTAATACAATGATATGCAATGCTCTTGCGTATTCGAGAAAAGAAAAAAAAATATAAGTGATTATCTACATAATAAGCGATGACGCTGAGGCATATATTTCCATGGGAGATGGGACATGGTTGAGTTCCTTGCCATAGGTTTTACTCCAGATGGATCCTGAACCTGATGCTGACACACTGTGTATAGGCATTGAATGAAACAATTGCCAAATTCCTCCCAACCTCTTGGTTTGAGCTTATTGAAAGACTGCTACCAAAACCTTGTTGCAATTCAAACCGTCTGATGCTTCAGAATCGACATGTGCGGCTAAATGCTCCAATACCTTGCCTATGCTATATGGAACCGTGGAAGACGTCTACCTAAGTAGGGATGAAAACGGTCGGAATATATCCCGTACCGTCCCGCATCGTTTTCTACATTTCACCTGCTCGAATTCGTATTTTTGGACAAATTCAAATTTGGTACGAAATACGGAATACCAAATTCGAAAATGGAATGGAAACGATTTAAGTGTTTTTTCCCCGACCGTTTTCTACTTTTCGCTTTTTATTCGGAATATCCTGTTTTTGAAATTCAGTTTATGCCGTTTTTGGCCCACTAGAAGTTCAGCCTTAGAAAAATTGTATCTTTTCCGTACGATCTCAGATGAAGAAGATTTTTATATAAAAATTGTAGCTCTCCACGATATCTACATCTTTCTAGTTTTTAGTTTTTTCATTTGAGGTCATTAAATGTTCAAAAATTAAACAAAATTCTCAGCAGTATATGAATAGTTTACGAGCACATGTTGCCTTAGAAAAATCATAAGCTTCTTATATGGCGTCAAATGGAGACTTGGTCAATATTCCATATTGATCTTTCGTATACCGATTGTGTTCGACATAATTTCGCTCGAATTAGTTTGTTTTTGAAATTCTCGGTATTCCGTAAGTTCATGTTCATTTTCGTGTCTAGCTTTACCGCTTTCGTTTTCGTTTTCGTATTCAAATATATAAGTAGAAAATGGTAGAGATTTTTCCACCGTTTTCATCCCTATACTATACCTGAGCAAGTTTAGGTCAATTTAGAAAATTTTAACTCACAGCCTGTGGCGTGTGAAATGTGAAATCGCCACATAATGCTGAGCTGAGCACTAAGCTTATTTCCTGCATGCATTTCATTTCCACGGTAATGCGGAAGTTTCTTAGTTTGATTTGGACATTTGGTCATTGCACTTAGCAGAATATTCAGCATGCTCGGTTGTGTTGTGGGGAAAATTAGCTGAATCTGACGACCAAGTCTCTGTCTCTCTGCTCCCATGGCCCCACCTGGACCCCATAGGTCCCACGCCTCTCCACTCTCCGGGTAAGTTAAAAGCAGAGCAGAACAGAGCAGCAGATTCTCCCACTCCCTCCTCTTCTTCACCTGCTCCGCCGCCCGCCCGCCTTCGCTGCTCGGGCCCACCTGGCCAACCACTAATCATCATCCACCATGGAAGCAGATCCGCCGCCGCCGGCAAGCGCGCTGATGGAGGAGCTGGTGGAGGAGGTCCTGCTGCGCTTCCCACCTGTCGACCCGGCGAGCCTCGTCCGGGCCGCGCTCGTCTGCAGGCGCTGGCGCCGCATCGTCACGGGCCCGCGGTTCCTCCGCCGCTACCGCAACCTCCACCTCCACCGCGGGGGGTCTCCCTCGCCCCCGATGCTGGGCTTCCTCGCCAGCGCCGGCGCGGGCACCCGCTTCGTGCCCACCTCCACCTTCCGCCCCGCACCCCTCTTCGGCGGCTGGCGCGCGCTCGACGCCCGCCACGGCCGCGCCCTTCTGCGCCGGGACACCGGCCACGACGCGCCCGTCGACTGCGAGCTCGCTGTCTGGGACCCCGCCACGGGCCGCCGCACGGACCTGCCCCGCCTCCCCTGGTCGCCCCACTACCCCTACAGCTGGAACGCCGCGGTGCTCTGCTCCGCCTCCACCGCCGCCGCCTGCGACCACCTCGACTGCTCCGGCGGCGGCGGTGGCCACTTCCTCGTCGTCGTGGTGGGCACCAACCACGAGGAGATTTTCGCCCACGTCTACTCGTCGGAGACGGGGACCTGGAGCGCGCCCGCGTCCGCTCGGCACCCCGACGACAACGTCGAGTTCGCGCCCAGCGCGCTCGCGGGGAACGCGCTCTACTTCGCGTTCCAGACGGGGGCGGCGGCCCTGGAGTTCGATTTGCGCACGCGGGAGATGGCGGTGGTTCGCCTGCCGCCGCCACGCTTCGACTGGCAGCGCGTTGTGCTCGCCGCTAGGGATGATGGTCGTCTGGGACTCGCCACGGCAGGCAAGTCCACGATCTACCTGTGGGCGAGGGAGGCGCAGCGTCCAGGAGATGGGAATTGGGTGCAGACCAGAGCCATCGAGCTCGACACGCTGCTCCCTGCTGGTGCCATTTCAGCCTTTCCTGATGTGGTTAGCTTTGTGGATGGCGTTGGTGTCGTTTTTGTGAGGACGGGTGATGGGCTCTTCACCATTGATCTGAAGTCTCTCCAGGTCACAAAGCTATCGAGGGATACTGCCTTCTCCAGCATTTTTCCCTACATCAGCTTCCACACTCCAGGTAATTGCCTCGTCCGCGTTCACCCTGTATATCTTTATCCCAGTCGCAGTAGCTTTACTTGTATGTGATGAGCGATGAGTTAGTAAAGTGGAATATCACGATCCAATAAAAGAAAATGTGTTACCCTTATATAGGTATGCTACCATGCTTCAAATCTGCAGATATACCTCGAATTGTTTTGTCCTCTGTTATACCTGTAATGAGCAGAATATGGGGTCTGGAACCTTATCTAAATGTTGGCTGGCCCAGTAAAAACTAACCAGCAGGACAGTGGTAAAACAAAAACAATGGTATTACCTACATGAGCTTTCTTGGATATGATCTTTCAATGTCACCTGATAACATAGATGATATCAATGCCACACAAAGGGTAGCTGTTACCTGGTAGCCTGTTTGATTGCCCAGCAACATGTTTTTCGTGCATGGTCAGAAACCATTTTCTAATAAGCGGTAATAGGTTTCAGCCAGCTTATGTTATTTCCTAAAATTGTGTATTTCTGTAGCACTGGAAGTTGCCTCAACTGGTGAGGGGCCAAGTTCAGGTGCCTAAGGTGCTTGTGTGCAGGTTTCACAGTCAAGGGGAAACTTAGTCGCTTCTCGGTGGGTCCTTGGTTTTAATTCAAGGGCTCTATGTTTTGTCTAAAGGATTCTATCTTGTAAATTTGTTAGTTTGATCACTGCTTTATGTGTAAACTGGTAAGTCTGTGTGTTCTCCTGAATAACATGTTTTTCATGCACGGTCAGAAACCATTTTCTAATAAGCGGTAATAGGTTTCTACCAGCTGATGTTATTTCCTAAATTTGTGTATTTCTGTAGCTCTGGAAGTTGCCTCAACTGGTGAGGGGCCAAGTTCAGGTGCATAAGGTGCTTATGTGCAGGTTTCTCAGTCAAGGGGAAACTTAGTCACTTCTCGCTGGGTTCTTGGTTTTAACTCAAGGGCTCTATGTTTTGTCTAAAGGATTCTATCTTGTAAATTTGTTAGTTTGATCACTGATTTATGTGTAAACTGGTAAGTCTGTGTGTTCTCCTGAACTGTAGCTTGCAAAGAATCCTAGAATGAATGTGATTTCCCTTCTGTGTGCATATGTATGCTCAAGAAAACAAGCATTTGAAGTTAATGTTCTGCAATTCCATATGTGCTGTGTAACTTTTGCTTAATTTTAGTTTGATTCCATATTATTAGGCCAAAGGGCGCCTAGCTCAAACGGTTAGGTGACCCAGCGGCACTCCTTAGGTCCTGGGTTCGACTCTCCGTGGGAGCGAATTTCAGGCTGAGGTTAAAAAAATCCCCTCGTCCGTCTCCATAACCAAAGCACTGGGGGGGGGCACCGCCCAATTCTCACTTGGGCGATGAAAAGCCACCGTGTAGGGTGGGGGCGGGGTTCGGGGGTTTTCTTGGCTGGGTGAGAAGGTCCTTCTTCTTATTTGAAATGCTGCGGGGGCAGTCTTAACCCCCCCGGTCGAGTTTTTTTTTATTTCATATTATTAGAATATGAATAGCCTAGAATTTGTATAGTCTAGAATGAAGAGTCTTAGTAGTTCAAGAGTCATGTAACTCCTTTATAAACTCTTGATCAATCAATGGAACAGCAGGGATTATTCCTCTCACAGATATCTTATGGCCTGAAACATGAGAACTGAGGAAGAAAGGAAATATTAATTCCTGACATCCAGTTTGTGCCATTTTCAATATTAGGAGGTGTTCAAAGCTCTGAAGCATTCAATTAAATTTTCGTAAGCACCAGTCATCAAAACGTCCAGGCCTATATGAAGGGTATGAGTTCTGCATGGATGATTTCAGTACTTCAGTTCATACAGAAATTCTTAAAAGTCCTAGCTTGGAATGGGTCTTAACTGTGTCTACTGAGTCGTATGTTTTGTTCACTCACAGAAGAAAACACAAGAAATTGTTGAAAGGGTGACTGGATGTGGTCAATGATCAGACAGTAACATCGCACTCTGAACAGTTAAAAAATTCCATAGGACAGGCATGCATATATTGATTGATTTTTAGTCATTCTTATTCTGTAATCTGTATGTACTCTTCAGCAGCAGTTTCATGATTGTAAAGGATTTAAGATACATTTTTCATATTTAATCAAGATATTGTCAGAGTATGTGCTATTCCATTGCTCAGATAATGTTTGCAAAGTGCTATCCTTCTGAAATACGGAGTAACACAGAGAGTTGGGAATTTGTAGTGCAAACTCTGGCCTAGAGGCAACTCGTGTTCAGTCAGTTAGCCAAAAAGTCCAACAGAGGACACTGGTTAATATAGTTAGAGTAAAATGCACCCTGGTTCCTTAAACTTTTAGAGCATTCCCATCTGGGTCCTCAAACTAAAAAAGCGACTATCTAGGTCCCTCATCTATTGTCGCCGTGCACCAGAGGTCCAAAACCAGCCACGCAAGCACCAACATCCGACGTGGCACGTTCTCTGGCGTGCCACGTCGCCCAGTTGTGGCACGGGCCCAGTGTTCAGCTACCACCGTGGCGTGCCACGTCGGATGTTGGTGCTTGCGTGGCTGGTTTTGGACCTCTGGTGCACGGCGACAATAGATGAGGGACCTAGATAGTCGCTTTTTTAGTTTGAGGACCCAGATGGGAATGCTCTAAAAGTTTAAGGACCCAGGGTGTATTTTACTCATATAGTTATTAGCGGTTATACAGAGCATACATCAGTTTGTAATCTAACAATCTGATTTCTGTGACTCCCGTATCATAAGTTCTCTACAGAGAAATTACATAGTAGATAGTGATGTATGAAAGTGTAAGCAAGTAAAAAAAAAATCAGTAGAAAGGGTCAGAATTCAACAGTCAAGGGCTGTACCTATCGAAGTAGACAATCAGTAGAAAGTGTAAGCAACTAAATAAAAAGTCGATAAGAATATTAAGGTAAGGGTCCCAAAAGTCATACATGTGAATGGACTATTGACTCTCAATTTAGATTTTTCTATATGTTTTTGCTTCTTGAGCCCAATTGTTCTTATATGCCCTCTTCTCCTTTGAGTTCTGATGTGAAGCATAGAATACAGACTACAGAGTGAGTTTCAGAAACATCAATACTCATCTTGTGTTTTCTTAGTTCTTACCCTTCCTGCAGCGTTGTCTTCCTAAGGAGCAAGAGAGAACTCCCAAATGGAAACTTTCCTCTCTGCAGTCCTGGGTGAGCTGATATCTCGATCCATAAATTTCATCATCAACAAGTGGTCAACACAACTGAAACTGAACATGGAGGAAAGCCTACAAAGGGCTCTTCTCAGAGCACAGGTCATCATTGAGGAGGCCATGGGACGGCAAATCACAAATCAAGCCATGCTCCTGCAGCTGGGCATGCTGAGGGATGCCATGCACCGAGGCTATTACGCACTTGATGCGTTCAGGTACCAGCCTCACTATGGAGAAGATGGCAATGATCCAGCTGCTTGGCGGTTTATGCCCCTATCCAAGGTACCTTCTGCAAAGGATCCCTATTTCTCCAGTCGAACTATACAGTTTCAGGAACAACTACGAGAGGCCCTTGACAGATTGAGCTCCATGATTGTTGATCTGAATGAGTTGGTCATGTTCTTGATGAGTTACCCTCGCCTGTATCGCCAGCCTTACAGCATGCATATCCTTCTGGGTAACTGCATGTTTGGTCGCCAGATGGAAACAGAACTTGTCATTAATTTCCTTTTGCACACAAAACCTCATAGTTCCGAAGAATTGGATGTTCTGCCAGTTGTTGGTCCAGTCGGAGTCGGTAAGAGTACCCTAATCGCTCATGTTTGCAAAGATGAAAGAGTCTGTGATTATTTCTCAGAAATCTTGTGGCTGCACAACCGTGATTTTATGGATGGTGAGCTAACTTTCAGACAGGGATGTGCAATGAATCGTCGAAATTGTTTGTCAAACTTGAAGAAAGGCAAGAGACTGCTAGTTGTTATTGAACTATACGGCAATCTCTGTGAAGATGCATGGAATAGGTTTTACCTTGCTTCCAAACAGAGGTTTCCTAGTGGTAGTAAAATCATAGTGAATAGCTGTTCAGACAAGATTGTAAAGTTTGGAACGACACCAGCTCTAACTCTGGAGTACATGTCCCTTGAGGCTTACTGGTATTTCTTCAAGACACTTACATTTGGAAGCATGGATCCCGAGACGCGCCCTAGGTTTGCACAACTGGCCATGGAGATAGCCAGACTGCAGAATCGTTCAATCCATTCTGCATATATCACCTCTTATTTGTTGAGGGACAATTTTAACTTACACTTTTGGTGTAAGGTGCTGATCTTCATGAGAGGGTTCATCCAGAAGCATATCTCCAAATTCGGTGTGCATCCTTTTGATCTTCTAAACCAAAACAAACCTGTACTGCATGGAAGAATGGCTTCACCTTCCGAAGATTTCATGATTTGTCATCGGTATCACCGCTTTCCCGATGAGGAGGTTCCAGAGATAAGAGTCCAAGATGTGCTGTATGGAAGCATTAAGAAACATGGAAAATTTGAGGTCCTAGTATGGAGATCTCAGATACCCCCCTACTACAGCTATGTCGATGCTTGTGAGATTCGGGAGCGAAAAATTACAGGTGCAAAGAGGAAGCACTGTATGAAAGACGGTGCCACATTCTGTTAGTTGTATCATTTCCTGGTTTGTGCAGGAACATATATAATTTTATTAACTTTTTTCGGGTAGGATGTCTTAAGTTAGAGCAGAGTCAATTCTGAAGTGTGCTACATTTTCATTTTTTTGATAAAGGAAACTTTTATTAAAACCTCAGAAGCAATACATCCAGTTGATACAAAGCCAAAGAGGGTAACTTCCGGCCTTTGCCTAACATGAGGCACACAGCCAAAGAAAGAGAAGAAACCTGGTACAATCTAGTGACTATCAATTCGTAAACTAGACCGCCACCCATGTGCTTGGTAGAAAAAATCCTTGGCCACCTGCGTCAACAGTTATGATACAGCTACAACTGCCTGCAAATTCGGCTTTTGCAGGGTAGCCCAAGTACGTAGCCAATAGGTAACTAAATAGATAACCTGCATAGGAGAAACAATTTTTTTTCTTTTTGAAAACAATATCATTCCTGCTGAGCCAAATAGACCAACAAGTCGCAGCTCCTCCTAACAGGAGTAAAAGCTTGACATCTTTGTTGACACCTCTTAGCCAGCCATTGAACATATGACCTATATTGTTGGGTTTTAAAAGACCTGTCGCAACATGAATAAAAAGACCAAATTGAACAAACAAACCGGGAGTCAAAGAACAAGTGCTTAATTGTCTCTTCTTTGTGATAAAAGCAACAAGTTTTACTACCTTGCCAATTGCGCTTTACTAGGTTATCCTTCGTCAATATAACTCCTCGTCGTAAGTACCACAAGAAATTTTTTATTTTCAGTGAGGCTTTCATTTTCCAAATGAGTTTGTTAATGTTTGGGATATCAGTATGTAATAACGCTTGATTGTGTGACTTCACCAAGAATTTTCCATTTGGATGTAAATTCCAGTGAAACTCATCTTGCTACATTTTCATATCTGAAGTGTAAGTGCTTATATCTACTTAATGACACATGAGTTAGAGGCATATATTTTCATGGGATATGGTGAATCCTTCCCTATTGTTGGTTTTACTCCAGAATCCGGATAGCAGCCTCAGCCTGGGCTTCAAGCCTGTGTTTTCGGTTTTATCTTTTCAGTTCAACCAAGCAGGCCATGTTTGGCGGTTTTGCATGACTGGTTGCAAGCCAAGCAGAGTCTCTTTGGTTCAAGAAGATTTGGCATCCCACCAATCTCTGGCCCAGAAAGAGTTGGAAATTGAGTCGAGTTAGTTGTAATAAATTTTTTTCACATCACATGATTGCAAAGGCATACAGATCTGTCAAGGACCTGTACTGTAACTGTGCAGCAGTTTGATCTGGTATACTACTTGCTCTGTTTTCTTGCGTACACTTGAATGACTGCAACCAGAATTTATGTACTTGCTCCTCTGATATTCTAATCTCATTGTCTTCTCTTATCATAGTCATAGTGCTCAAATCACACCAACTTAAAGGTATCTACTGCAATATGCTAAGTAAAAAATCAGTTAACAAGCTTTGAGGACAAGTTATATGCTGAGAAAAAGTACCTACCCAGAAGGAATAAAAAATGTGTTATCTACACGAGCCTTTGAAATAACATTTAAGTTGTTACTGTTAATGATTTAGCCAACACAAGGGATTAATTCCTTCATTGGGAATTTATAGTGCAAAGTCTGGCCTGGAGGCAACTCCTGTTCAGCCAGTTGGCTAAAACTGCAACTGAGGACACTGCTTAATATAAATCAGTTGCTAAGCTAACAATCTGATTTTTGTGACCTTGATATCATAGGTGGGTCTACAAATTAATTACACAGATCATGAATGGTGATGTCTCGGTGGTTCACTTAACGAAGGCTTGGAATTCAACAGTCAAGGGCTGTACGGATTCTCTGGAAGTATCCCAACTGGTAGCAAGTTCAAACAAAAATAAAAAGTTAGTCAGTAACCAGGTGAAGACGAAAGCAGTCCCAAAAGCTACATGTGAATGGACTATTGACTCTCAATTTAGTTGTTCTTATATTCCTTTGCTTCTTGAGCCCAACGACCTCTCTCTCCTTGGAGCTTTGATATGAAGCAAAGAATACAGAGTTTCCAAAACATCAAAACTCATCCTATTGTGTTCTCTTCCTGAGGAGAAAGAGAGAACTCACATGGAAACTTTCCTTTCTGCAGTCCTGGGCGAGCTGATATCTCGATCCATAAATTTCATCAGCAACAAATGGTCGAAGCCGCTGACACTGAACATGGAGGAAAAGCCTACAGAGGGCTCTTCTCCGAGCAAAGGTCATCAACGAGGAGGACATGGGACGAAAATAAGCTAAAATAAGCACCAAATGCTTTACACCCATCAATCTATGTAATGTGAGATATATATACAAGGTAATTTCCAAATGTTTGGTCAATCGCCTAAGACCCTTCCTGGAACATGTCATCTCACCATGAAAGCGTGGATAAGTTGGGAGGAGAAATACCTAACTTTTGATTTTTTTTTGGCCTCTCATCTCTAAGTACAGCTGTAGTATCTGTTCGGATACAGACACACACCATCACACACACGTACACCTCACACACACGGTATACAAACAAACCTACAACTATACTTAGACAACGAACACAGCTGAGAGATACTCGAAGATCACCAGACTCTAAGCGTGGCAGGCACGTCACTTGACCATTATGACACATCTGCGTGAGAGACAACTAAAATTATAAACGGAGAATAAATCTCCGAGGTGAGGCTCCTGGGTTTGATTCCAGGAATCGAACCCAGGACCGGCCGCTCAAAACCACAGCGAGCAAGCCCGCTGAGCTACGGCTCGTCCTCACCCAACTTTTGAATTGTACAGCGCTAGCGTGCGAGACTCGTCCAACACCTACCCAACGCAAAGGTCAGACACGCATATGAGTGGGCTAGTCAATACCGATCGACACTGTCAGCTAGCTTAGTGTTCTTATTATACATATGCCTGTGCCCTCCTTGAGTATGCATTGGAGTTCTTACAAGAAAGAAACGCATACATACATAGAGCTTGCTAGCACAAATACACAAATCCAGATCAAGCTACGATGGTGTCGCTAATGGAGATTTTCCTGTCTGCAATCTTAGGCGACCTAACCACTAGATGCATAGATTTCCTGGCGAGCAAGCGCCCCAATAAGCCTCCTGCACTGGACGACGTGGAGGATCGCCTCTGCAGGGTCCTGCTCCGGGCGCAGGTCATCATCGACGAGGCCATGGGGCGGCGGATCACAAACCAGGCCATGCTCCGGCAGCTGGACGCCCTGACAGACACCGTGCACCGAGGCCACTACGCCCTCGACACCTTCAGATCCTTTCAGCAGGCTGAAAAAGAGGAGCCCAGGCCCAGCAGCAATGGTCAGACGACGATCGTGAGTCACCGGCTTTCTTCCCATTTCTCCAGAGTCGATCCATGTCTCTCCAGTTGGACAAGCAGAGCTGTACAGATCTCAAAAGAAATGCAGGAGGTGCTTGACACTTTGAGCGCCATGATTGTTGATGCACATGAACTAGTCCTGTTCTTGGCGAACTACGGTCCCCGCATGTACCGCCAGCCTTACAGCATGTATCTCCTGCTGGGAAACTGCATGTTTGGTCGCCAGATGGAAGCACAATATGTCATCGACTTCCTTCTGCACACACAGCCTCCTGGTGGTGTCAAAGAACCGGCGGAGGTCCTGCCAATTGTCGGTCCCTGCGCAGTAGGAAAGAGCACACTAGTCGCTCATGTTTGTAAGGATGAAAGAGTCCGTGACCATTTCGCAGAAACTGTGTTCTTGAGCGACCATGACTTTGCGTATGATGGGCTAGCAGCTTTCAGAGAAGGATTATCTGCAAAAAATCGCACGTCATCAGATCATGGGACAAGGAGAATGCTTCTTGTCGTGGAGGTAGCAGGCATAGACCTCGACGAAGATGTATGGAACAAGCTGTATTCTGCATCTAAACATTGGATGCCCATGGGTAGCAAGATCATACTCACAAGTCGGTCCGTCAAGGTCGCAAAGCTTGGAACAACACAGGCTCTAACTCTGAAGCCTCTATCACATGAGGCGTACTGGTATTTCTTCAGGACGCTTGCATTCGGAAGCACAGATCCCACGTCGTCACACCCAAGGTTCATCAATCTGGCCATGGAGACTGTCACGGCACTGAACCTGAACGACATGATCGCTGCAAATGTCATTGCCCGTATGATGAGGGACAGCTTTGGCATCCATTTCTGGGGCAAGTTGGCAGCGTTCCTGAGATTGCAGTTTCAGAAACATGTGTTCAGGTTCGGTGGGCATCCATACGACCTTGTAAACCAGAACAAAACCGTGTATTTAGGGAGGATGAGGTCTGAACAGGTGGTTTGCTTCCATCCGTACCGGCACTCTTCACAGAAGGAGGTTCCCAAGATCACCTTGCACGAAGTGATTAATGGAGATGCAGAACTTCCTGCTGGGAGATTTGAAGTCCTGGCATGGAGTTCTCAGATACAACCTTACTATAGCTATATCTATGATTGTGAGATTCTGGAGCTGAAATCTACAGGCAACAAGAGGAAGCGCTCCGCGAAAAACGGAGGCCCACCTTCGATATGTTTGTGATTGTTAGGCTATCATATATAGGAGTATAAAATGAGTGCATGCTTTCATAGGTATCCCAAGTTATTGGAATGGGCAAACTGTAAGGTATGTAGAATGTTTACAAGGCATACATATACCATAGTGTATTACTTACTACTCATTCCATAAGTAAACTGTAAGTGACCATTAGCAGTTCATATCATCTAATGGTGAAGTGGTTACCAGTGGTTTTAGTCCAGAGTGTGGGTTTTCAAAAGTTGCACTGTTTTCAGCCAGGAAACGGGGCAGAGCCCACTGTTCCGGCGCTACTTTAGCTTTCGGGCTCCATTAGCAAGCTCACATGGGTCCTCGACTAAACAGAGCTAAGCCGTAATAGGTCTAGTTTCGGCCCAAGCCCGAAGGGTATATATATATATATATATATATAAACAACAACAACAACAAATCCTTTAAGTCCCAATCAAGTTCGGGTAAGCTAGAGTTGAAACCCAGCAAAAGCAATCAATGTTCAGGCACGTGAATAGCTGTTTTCCAAGCACTCCTATCTAAGGCTAAGTCTTTGGATATATTCCATCCTTTCAAGTCTCCCTTTATTGCCTCTACCCAAGTCAACTTCGGTCTTCCTCTGTCTCTCTTCACGTTACTATCCTAGCTTAGGATTTCACTATGCACCGGTGCCTCTGGAGGTCTCCGTTGGACATGTCCAAACCATCTCAACCGATGTTGGACAAGATTTTCTTCAATTGGTGTTACCCCTAATCTATCACGTATATCATCGTTCCGAACTCGATCCCTTCTTGTATGACCGCAAATCCAACGCAACATGCGCATTTCCACGACACTTATCTATTGAACATGTCGTCTTTTCGTATGCCAACATTCTGCACCATACAACATAGCAGGTCTAATCGTCGTCCTATAAAACTTGTCTTTTAGCTTCTGTGGTACCCTTTTGTCACATAGGACACCAGATGTTTGGCGCCACTTCATCCACCCTGCTTTGATTCTATGGCTAACATCTTCATCAATATCCCCGTCTCTCTGTAGCATTGATCCTAAATATCGAAAGGTATCCTTTCTAGGCACTACTTGACCTTCCAAACTAATATCTTCCTCCTCCCGAGTAGTAGTGCTGAAGTCATATCTCATATACTCAGTTTTAGTTCTACTGAGTCTAAAACCTTTGAACTTTAAAGTCTCCCGCCATAACTCCCGTTTCTGATTGACTCCTGTCCGACTTTCTTCAACTAGCATTACATCGTCCACGAAAAGCATACACCAAGAGATGTCCCATTGTATGTCCCGTGTGACCTCATCCATCACTAAGTCAAACAGATAAGGGCTCAAAGCTGAGCCTTGATGTAGTCCTATCCTAATCGGGAAGTCATCCGTGTCTCCATCGCTTGTTCGAACACTAGTCACAACATTGTTGTACATGTCCTTAATAAGCCTGACGTACTTCATTGAGACTTTATGTTTGTCCAAAGCCCACCACATAACATTCCTTGGTATTTTATCATAAGCCTTCTCCAAGTCAATAAAAACCATGTGTAGGTCCTTCTTCTTCTCCCTATACCGCTCCATAACTTGTCTTATTAAGAAAATGGCTTCCATGGTTGATCTTCCGGGCATGAAACCAAATTGGTTCATATAGACCCGTGTTATTGCTCTCAAGCGATGCTCGATAACTCTCTCCCATAGTTTCATAGTATGGCTCATTAACTTAATTCCCCGGTAATTATTACAACTTTGAATATCCCCTTTATTCTTGTAGATCGGTACCAATATACTTCTCCACTCGTCAGGCATCTTGTTCAATCGAAAAAATATGGTTAAACAGCTTGGTTAGCCATACTATAGCTATATCCCCAAGGCATCTCCACATCTCGATTGGGATACCATCTAGTCCCATCGCCTTACCTCCTTTCATCCTTTTCAACACCTCTCTGACCTCGATTCTTGGATTCTCCACGAAAAAGCGCCTATTACGCGTCATCAAAAGAGTCATCCAACTGAAAGGTTGTGTCCATATTCTCACCATTGAACAATTTGTCAAAATACTCTTGCCATCGATGTCGGATCTCATCCTCCTTCACCAAGAGATGCTCCCTTTCATCCTTAATGCACTTAACTTGGTTGAAGTCCCTTGTCTTTCTCTCACGAACCCTAGCCATCCTATAAATGTCCTTCTCTCCTTCCTTTGTACTCAAATATTGGTAAAGATCCTCGTATGCTCTACCCTTTGCCACACTTACAGCTCGCTTTGCAGTCTTCTTTGCTACCTTATACTTCTCTATGTTGTCCACACTCCTGTCATGGTACAAGCGTCTATAGCATTCTTTCTTCTCCTTAATAGCCCTTTGGACTTCCTCGTTCCACCACCAAGTATCTTTAGTCTAGCCTCCACTTCCTTTGGTTACTCCACACACCTCTGAGGCCACCTTCCGAATGTTGGTAGCCATCTTCTCCCACATGTTGTTTATGTCCTCTTCTTCCTTCCAAGAGCCCTCTTTGATAACCCTTTCCCTGAATACCTCTAACGACTCTCCTTTTAGTTTTCACCACTTTGTTCTTTCAATCTTAGCTTGTTTATCTCTACGGGCACGCACCTGAAAACGAAAGTCTGCCACCAAAAGCTTATGTTGAGAAACAACACACTCCCCTGGTATCACCTTGCAACCCAAGCATGCTCGTTTGTCCTTTCTTCTTATGAGGACAAAGTCAATCTGGCTAGAGTGTTGTTAAGCTCATCAAGGTCACTAGATGAGATTCTCTCTTTCTAAAGAAAGTGTTGGCTATCATCAGGTCAAAAGCTACCGCGAAGTCCAGAACTTCCTCCCCCTCCTGATTCCTACTATCATATCCAAAACCTCCATGAACTGTCTCGAAACCTGCGCTTGTAGTACCTACATGCCTATTAAGATCTCCTCCTATAAAAAGCTTCTCACTACTAGGTACAACTCTAATCAGGCCATCTAAGTCGTCCCAGAACTGTCTCTTAGCACTCTCGTCGAGGCCTACTTGGGCGCATACGTACTAATTACGTTCAAGACCATATCACCAATGACAAGCTTGACTAAGATAATCCTATCTCCTTGCCTTCTCACTCCCACCACACTATTCTTGAGGCTCTTATCAATCAAAACTCCTACTCCATTTCTATTCACGACTGTCCCTGTGTACCAAAGCTTAAAACCTGTATTGTCCACCTCCTTCGCCTTCTGACCCTTCCATTTAGTCTCTTGAACGCACAATATATTTACACGCCTCATAGTCGCGGTATCAACTAATTCCCTTAACTTACCTGTAAGCGACCCTATATTCCAACTACCTAAACGGATCCTAGTTGGATCGAGTAGCTTCCTTACCCTTCGCACCCATCGACTCAGATGCGAAAACCCTTGCTCATTTTTCACTACACCCGGACGCCGATGTAGCGCGCCACTAAGGATGCGACGACCCGATCCTTACTCACTTGACACCGTGCCCAGATCGCGACACGGCGCGTCACGGGGTTGACGACCCGGCCCTTGCTCATTTAACACCATACCCGGGTTCCGATATGGCGCGTCGCTAAGAGGGTTACGCCCCAACGATTTTCTTTCGGGTTTCATCTCCATCACAACCCTCCTTCTTTACCAGGGCTTGGGACCTGCTATGTTGAGACAACATAGGCGGAGTTATATATATATATATATATATAAGGCCAACATTCCCTTTTCTTTGTTCCAGAAGCCCAGTCACCTTGAATATTGGCCCTGGACCCACTTGTCATCTACTGTGGACATTTCACAGTTCAGGTAAATAATATCAATCAATTTTTCAGAAATTCTAAGGAATGTTCTTGCTCTTTGTATTTTCTGGAACTAAATCTTTCGGATAACCTTTGGGGGTTCTACATTCATCCCTCCATTTCAACTCCGATTTCGATGATTATTTTTCCACCTAAAAATTCACCTCAATTGATGGCCTACACCTTCCCCCTAAGTTAACAATATACTTCGGGATTAATTTGAAACTATGTAAATTCTATTCGATATCAAGAGACTTTTGCAGCAGAAAGGCATAAAGCATAAAATCAGCATGATCTTTTCCTAAGAAAAAGGAATATAGTTATAAAAGTGATATAGTTATTTCTATATAATCCCAAATCGATGATCTCAACCATCAAAATTTTAAAACCTTATGATCTATCACTTGGCTACAGGGTTGGTAATACTCTATGATATGCCTCATTAAAAAAGAATGCAACATATCGCCTGTAGAGTGTAGAATCTGACAAATCAAATTTTATCCACTGCCTTAACATATTGTTTGGTGAAATACACATGATCGCTAAACTACACATTAAGGGTGTTAGAGAAAACTTAATGCCTACCCTTTTGTATACATATTCCAAGTTTCAGTACATGTGCAACATACTAGAAGTCATGGCTATATATCGATGAAAAGATGTGAAAAAGTTCCAACTATTAATCTGAAAGAATTTGGGCATAGGTTAAGTAATCTGGTACAGAGTAGGGCCACAGAAAACTTTACCATCGTATTAGGAATTCTTTTATTCTCCCAAACCCTGTATAGATCCTGTCTTGTCAAGAATAGGATTACAGTGCCATAGTGGAGGATAAACATACAATTTTGTTCCCATTCATCAGTTCAGTAAACTGCTCTGTTTTCAAATACTTGGCAACTCAAACTGGACAGAATCTTGCTGAGGCACTTTCAGAGCCTTATAACTCCTTGTATCTGAGTTATACATACTGTGGTTCGTGGGCACATCTCGCTGAAACCCCCTTGAGCTGGAGGAGACATCTATACTCTATACTAACTCTGCAGACCAACAGACAAAAAATGGAGTTGGAGAATGGCTGCCACTCTGCTTGGTAGCATTATCAATTCCAAAACGTGGATAGCAAGAAGATTTTCAACCAATGCAACCAAGCTTTAACATTTCTGGACCGTGATTCAGTCAGTGGGTCAGTTAAACCATGACAAAATCAGCTGGAACCAAAGTTGGGTTCTCCTGATGCAAAGCATAAATCTTATCGGTCATTCCTTCCTTGCGATAAGCTTCCACCAAGATAGAGTATGTCACAGCATCAGGATCACACTGTGTATGCTTCATGTGCCTGAAGACCCTCTCCATCTCCATAAGATCATCTGCTCTTGCACATGCACCAAGAATAGCATTGTAGAAAGATGTATTTGCAGGCACATCAAGCCTCTCAGCAAGCTTAACCATGCCCACCACCTTATGGAATTGGCCTGCTTTGCTAAACCCATTTATTAGACAGCAGAAGGTCTTTGTATCCGGCTTCATACCCTCAGAGCGCATCTGGTTAAATGTGTGCTCCATGTTTTTGGCATCACCCGCCTCGGCAAATGCCTCAATCACATTGTTGTATGTCGCGGTTGTCCATGGGAACGCAAGCTTGCGCATGTACTCCATGACTGCAGACATCTTATCATACATCCGCTTCTTCCCATAGGCACCAATCAGGATGTTCAGTGTGCGAGTCTCTGGTTCAACCCCATAGCTTCGGAATTTCTCGTACCATTTTTCCATCAATTCAACCTGGCCCCTGTTTCCAAACAGGCTTAAGATAATGTTCATGGTCCACACATCCGGTTTGCAGGTTGTGCTGTCGAGCATGTCAGAGAGCACCTTCTCCATGTCATCCAACCGTCCAGCCTTTCCTTAGCCACTGAGGGCAATATTCTGCGTGACCGTGTTGGGCGCTATAGAGCGCTCAGCCATGTCTTTGTACATAACATCGATGAGGTCAAATCTAGCGGCATCGACACAGGCCTTGATGATGGTGCTGTAGGTGTAGACGTAAGGCTGGCACAACGGTGAGCGCTTCATGTCATTGAGGAGCTGGAGCGCCTCATCCAGTAGGCCGCTGCGGCAGTAGGCCCCAATTAAGGCGGTGTAAAGCTCAGAGGTGGGCTGGCATCCTTGTTGCAACATCTCGTCGAATAGCTGGTGCGCTCGGGCGGGCTGCCCTGATCGGCCAAGCAGCACGATAAGCTTCATGTAGGTGCCCTCTTTGGGATGGTAGAAAGGCTGTTCCTTGAGCATCTCAAAGACCTGTCAGTACCAATTCGCTGTTAGTGTCAGTAACAACATTTGCCACGATTTCCTTTCCTCAAACAAACAATTGAATCTAACTAACAATTCAGGGGAACTATGGAGTTTTCAAGACGATGGAGCAATGCAAACAGGGGAAATCAGATGTAACCGGCGGTGGTGTTTACCTGGAGCGCCTCTTGCCAGTTCTTAGAGCTGACGCGGTCAGCGAGGGCCTCGGTGACGGTGCACGCCCACGCCTTGGCGTCCGCGCGGGCGTCCAGCCGCTTCTTGACGTTCTTGAGGGGAGTCCTCGGCGTCCCCGACCCGGGACCGGCGGTGGTGCCCGGGAACTCGCCGGCCTTCCAATGCCGCTTCCCCTGCGACGGGGCGGCGAGGCAGGATGGAGAAGCAGAGCAGAGGAGGGGATAAGATTCAGGGGAGTCTGATGAGAACTGCGTGCTCTGGCTTCTGGGCCCACAAGTCAGTGACTTCAAGGGATGGATTTGGTTATGAAATATTTTGTTCTCAGACTGTCTCTACACCCATCTCAAGACCAAATCTAAAATAGGTCTCCATCAAAATACTTATAGCCTCTAACAAAGTACCAGTATGGAAGACCAATTTCAGATGTTAGGAGAGGTATAACCTAAATTTAAGTATCCTCTCTGCTATAGACCCATTTACAGAAATGGTTCTCTTTTAGATCTTATTGTTGGAGAAGGCTAAAAATAGGTATTGAGTCATTTGGCTGTAGCGCTATCCAAATATGGAATGGATCTTATATTTTGGGTAACGGTTATTAGAGACAGTCGTGTGTCATTGTCCGTCTATTGAATGCAAAAATATTTTTGGAGCTTTAGAGAAAAAAACTATATATTTTTATAAAATATTTTGAGCATAGAGTATTTGCGTACTATAAACTTTGTATTTTTAAAAACAGTAAAATTATTTAAATTATCATTTTTATTCTAAAAACTCCACTCTAAGAGCATCGCCAATAATTTTTCTTAACGTCGGTCTCTGAAACATTATTTAGAGATCCATTTGAATAAAAATCACTCTGTTTTTTCGCCCTTCGATAGGTTTTCTATACATCGTTCACACTCTAGAGAGCTAATTCTGCTCTTCATCTTTTGCTAACAAGAAATACAAAATATAAATGATCATATCTAGAGATCTAATTAAAAAAGTTGTTGGAGAATATTTTTCACCAAAATCTATATTTCTATCAACAAGGAAGGAAGTAGATACGCTCTTAGAGCTGCTCTAAAGTTTATCTAAAAAACTATGGTCATGCATGTTTATACTCTATATATTTTAAATTTATACTCCTTTTATTTTAAATTATAATTTGTTTTAAATTTTCTAGATGTATAACTTTTATTATATATCTAGACATGTATATCTAAGTGCATAGCAAAAATAATATACTAAAAAAATTCAAGAACAACTTATAATTTAAAACCGAGGGAGTAGTTTTTTAATGCAATAGCAACCAAATAGAGACTGAACTGTGACTCAAACCTTATGTGTAGTAACTATTTGAAAAATTATTTGCCACCGATACTACGTATCAAAACATTTTGCTTTACTTCCTCTCTGTAACACCCCGGTGTTATGCCTACATTTAGGCACTGCAAATCATGCATATCATGCATCATCAAGCATCCTAATCATACATGAATAATCTTGCATATAATATCTGAAACATTACTTCGAAACATACGAAACATGTTTGTGAAACGTAAATGATGCATACACTTATTAGAGTTGTTTTGCTCTGATTCTTGCTTGCTAGGTTAGTAGAACATGTTTGGCTGCTATTGTAAATCATCTAGCAATGTTTAGTTCAATTTTTGGAGCAATGTTTGTATTCAAATTAATTCAAAATTCGGCTTCAAAAATAAATTCCAAAAATTAGGGTTTTGAGCTAAACGTGGACTTTGATCTTCCAATTCAAAATCTAGAAAGAATTTGGTGTGGTCCTAAAAGCAAAGTTGTAGAGAATTAAATTCTAAGCAACTTTCATTTTGGTACATTTTCAAAAGAGGTCATCTTCTTACTCAAAATAAGATTTGAAAGCTGGCTTTTAAAAAATTCTTGAAAATATAAATGAAAAAGAGTTTTTCTTTTTTGGCAGACATTACTTTCCGCCCACCCATAAGCCGCCCAAAAAGCCCTCGCACCTGTACATACCACTTGCTGCTCGCGCTCCGCCTTTGGCCCAAGAAATTACCAAAGCCCAGCCCACGCCATACTCGCCTTCCTTCTTTTGCATGCGCCCGCTACGCTGACAGCCCGCGCGAGGCCGATCGCCAGCAGCGTGGCGCCACCCGTCGCCGAAAACTCCTGACCACATGACCCCACAGCGCCACGGGCTTCCCAGCCGCACTGGCGAGTCTTGAGCACCCAGCAGCGCCCACCGCATTCCAGCGTTCGCCCACCTCCTTGCCACACCTCTCTCCCTCTCACATGCCACCATCATCGCCCACACTGCACCGCGCTTGCCGGAGCTCGCTTCGCCCGACCACCTCAGCTTTCGCCAAGTGACAACTCCGTCTAGCCTCAGCTCACACACCACACCCCACACCCGTGCTCTCGCTTCTTTGCGATGGTAAGCATCCCGTTCTTGGGAATTGCTCACGGAACGCAGCCAAGCTTCATTGGTGAGCTCCGCTCCGTGGACTCCCCTCCCAGCTCCTCTTCCTACACAGATTTTGGCACAAGACAAGCACCGCCGCGGCGACGTTGAGTCTCCCGCGCCTCCTTGCACCTACGCCGTGGCGGAGATGCTCCACCGGCGACTAGCCACTTAGCCCTGACTCCGCCATTACTGTCATTGAGCTTTTTCCCCTGCACCGCCCTCCCTATTCACCTCTATCCGACGCGGTTTGGCATGGGGAGCACGTTGGTGCCCTCCGTTTCGCCGGGGACCTCGCCGTCGGCGAGTTTCAGAATGCCATGCCGTCGTCCTCTCTCGTCCCTTTCTCTCTTGGCATCTGCGGGCCCCCGTTTGTCGGCCCTGCTTGTACTTCACCGGGGGCTGGAGATGGAGGGGATCGTGGGCTGTGTGTCTGGGCAGCACAAGATCGTGGGCCATTGAAGCCGTTCGGGCTGGCCCAGTAACGTTTAAGTGATTTGATTTCCATTTATTCTTTATTATTTGAAATCTGAAATGGTTTGAAAAATATTTGGATACTCAAACTTGCTCCAAATTTGTTGAAACAAATTTTGCTAGGTTCCTTATCATCAGATCTACTTGGGAAAAATAGTGCATGTCATTTTTGAGATACTTTTCTATAGGATTTTATTTAATCTTGAATATTGCTGATAACTTGAAAAATATGTAGAAAAATATATAGGCTTCAGAAAATATGATTCCAAGTTTGTTAATCTTCTTATTTCATGTACTTCCTAGGAAAAATATGTTTCATGCATGTGCTGTGGGAAAAATTTGAGGTGTAGTTCAAGTTCCTTTAATGGCTGATTTTTGTTATTTTTGCTAGAGCACAAATTTTGTATAAAACATGCATGTGACAATTTTGTACAGTCATTATATACCATGAAGAACCTAGGAAAAATATTAATTCTGTTGTTTGACACTTTTCATAGTACAAAGTAATTTCATGCTCATTTTAGGCTATAGCTTGTCATTTTGTGTAGGATAGTTTACTTATCCAAATGCCATGAAATTTTTATGGTAGTCTGTTTAGGGTAGTAGTATGCTACTGTAATTTTCTCAGATTTTTAGGAGCATCAGAAATTTAGGTTGCTATTCAAACCTATTATTAATTAGGGTTTAAGCAAGTGTTGCCTTAAGTGTGATTAAGAATTAGTAAAGCTTTGGTGTATCTTTGAAGCATTTAATAACATATGTTGACTTAACATATTGGTAGTAGAAGAAAATGCAGTAGATGACATGTGCTTGTAGCATAGTTTCTTGGATGATGTTGTCTACCTTGCCTTTCAACATATTCATTGCATTCATCTCCTTCGATGCACCGATTGCATAGGCACTTACACGCATTGCATCATACAGGATCGCAAACCGAGAACCCAGTCGTCATTCCCGAGGAGCCCGAGGAGCAATTCGAGGTGCAACCGCCGCAGAAGTGCCGTGGCCGACGAGGAGGACGTTGAAGAACTTCCGGAGTGCCCCGATCACCGTCCGAGCTCCTTCGAGAGAGGCAAGCCCCGGAGCATCTTTCTCCCGGTTTGCAATGATTTCGTTAAATGCTTTACTTTAAATTGATGCATTACGTTCAGGAGTTGTTTGCAAACCGTTGTTGCATTATACCTTGTTTACCTTTGTTATACTATATCCTTGTTACCCTGGTATCCGCAATGATCGAGTCAATGCTTAGCCGGCTTAGACCGGTAGAAGTCGGGTGATTTCTGTCACCGCGAGCTATAGGTGGTTACCGGATCTGTTTGGATGGCTATGAAGTCATGGTATAACTAAGTGTTAAATGAAGTTGAGACCAAGGCGGAGACTTGCGGGGTTTTGGACTGTAGTGTTTCCGTCATGTCGATTAAGGACCGACTGTTGTTGGGCCTCGAGTCATGTTGAACGATGCCTTACATTTAGCTGGCCGGATAAAGTACCTTCCGACCGCTGAAGCGGGAGATTTTTTCGGCCGAGTAGATTGCCTCATGCAGCCGCCGTGTCTGTCAAGGTGTGTGGTAGGACACGGGGCGGGATGATAAGACCAAAGTGCGGTCGGTCGGCCCCGGGTACATGTGGTTCTGGCAAACTCGAGATACACGGAAAGTTGACTCGGTGATCAATATCTCACTTTAGCGGGTGAGTGAGATTTGTGTAAGGAATAAATCACCACCGTGGTTAGGAATCGATTCAATCGCCATCGCCTCTGGATAGTGAGCACTTGACTTGAGTGACTTCATCGTAGTAAATGTTTATGGAACACTTGGACAGCTTATAGTGAATATGACAAGATTGAAGTTGTTTAATGATCGGTGGTTATCATTAATTGCTTAATCACATGTTTACTTTAGGATAGGTGCAAATCTAGTCGACGTGTTAATAATAATTAACTTGACAATAATGCTTTTAGAAAGGTTCTTGAAATGCTAAAAATGCTTCTTTTCGCAAAATGAGTCATTACCCTACTATAATGCCTGCATAATCCTTGGTGTCATTTATTTTCGGTTATGTCGGGAAAGTCCGGCCGAGTACATTCTCGTACTCGTGGTTTTATTCCCACTTGTTGCAGATGGGCAGATGTACTATGGCTATTGTATCAACTGCCTCTATCCTGCGATGGGTGATGCTTAGGACCATGGGCATGGTCATTCCTTACGCCTCATCTAATGCTTTTGTTGGAGATGATCATCACCGGTGGCACTATATTTGAACTCCGTGTGAGTGTGTGTGGTTTTAAACAAATGACTTCCGCTACTTTTTATTCGAACTTGTTTTGTAATAACTTTTATTTAAACTCGATGTATCGGTTATGGAAACTTTTATGTAATATGTGATTGGTGACCGCTAAACTTATTACGATCATGGTTTGGGACACGAGTTGGTTTGAAATCCTTCGTGATTTCACGGACTACCGGGTTATCTGGGCTTAAGTTTGCTCAATCGTGCGCTTTCGGTGGATGATTTTCTTACTTAATTTCGTATAATTGGTCGGTTCTCATTACGGTGGCATCGAGCATGGTTTAGCGTGTTCTTTGTTCACAAGTGTATTTAAAACAAAAGGCATTTGGAAAACGTGAATTTCAAAATCTAAAGTGTGCCATGATCATATTCCTTATGCCCGATTAAGGACTTTAGGTGGCTTAATTAAAATCTTGACTTGGGGTTCTTGCATCATATTTCTCTTTAAATCGCTCATACGGCGTATATTGTATGAGTGCCACTTGTTTGAGTGGTAATGAATGGATCATTTGCCTCTACGCCTCGGTAAGTGTGAGTTGTGAGAGCATGATCGGATACACCGCCGATCTAGGGTGAATGCTTATATGATGTCTTTGGAGTAATTACATGTTCTCGCATGTTTTACAAAGGTATCTCATGTATGGGTCTTCCGTCTGTGGAGGCGATGCCGTCAATAGGACGATGGTTCGGGTAGTTACTACCGTTGTACACGTATCTGGGGATTCGTGTAGAGCGTGTAGATAAAACTTTACTGCTTTTATGCATTCATTGGGAATTGGGCTGAAATGAATCTTCTGCAGGTACATAACAACGCTATCGTGTAGAACGTATTAGCTACGTATTGAGAGATCGTTGTATGCCACCGAATTCGTCGTTAGAAATTATTTATTCCTAAGTTTGTGAGAACGTACGGCACGTACATACATCATGTTACTTGTGCATCTCATTCATCTCATGCATTCCTCCCCTTATAAATTGATTATCTCATTTTGATAAAAGACGTATCACCAAAAGTATGTTTCCCCGAAGTAATAAGAGAACTTTTGCTACAGATGGCCCGCACGAAGCAGACCGCCCGTAAGTCCACCGGAGGAAGAGCACCCCGACGCCCGTTGGCCCTGAGGGAGCACCGCACCACGGACACCTTCTTGAGCGAGTTTGGCATGCCAACTTTGCTTTGGAGAGTGCTCCATGATGTGGGGTACCCAGAGGGTCAAGAGCCGTGTACTCTCTTGGAATGAGAGCCAGTTGGCGGATGATGGACTTGCGTTGGTGGAGATCACGGTTCTGCTCTCGGTGATGCTCCAGTTGGGATGGTTGGCATTTGGAGTTTGAGGTGCGTACTCAAATGAGGGTGCAGAGGGAGCACCTTCCGTGTCATCGGGGACATTATGAGCAGATTTCCCGTGAGCTTGCAGCAGCTCTAGCTGGTACTTTTCCTAGGGATGATCCTCGCGATGCCATTTGGGTTCACCTCGTGGAAGTGCATTGGTCGAGAGTCCAAATTGAGGGGGCAAAGCTAGTGACAACCCGTGCAATGAGTGCTATGTTCGCCGCCATTAGAGCGTATGAGGGTCTCGAGAGTACCCACCGGACTTTGGTAGCTTATGCGTGGCGAGGATAAGCTCAAAGGGAAGAAGCGAAGAAGAGAGCACGAGCTATAGCTAGCTTGCGAGAGCGATTGGTCGATATGAACTTCTGGCCGAGATCGAAGCGGTTGAGAGAGGTGATAGAGCTATGCAATGAGTGCATACGTTGACTCAAGCCAACAACAATGCAGACCGCATGATTGGACAATTGGTTCAGGAGAGGAATGAAGCCTGGAACGCAAGAAACCTTCTGCTGCAGAGAGTCGATGAGTTAGAGGAATACAACGGCAACCTGCACGAGGAGTTTCACGCGCTCTACAATGGGGTTGGCCCATATGCTCCAGCAAACGCCGCTGGCATGGACATCGACGACGACAACCAGAACGAGCCTGTAGTTTCACCTGGAGGCGATGGTGATGTCTCCGATCCCGACGATGGCCCCGAGGAATAGGCTAGTTGCCTTGCGCTAGTATCTAGGTCCTGTCGCGAAGA